AAAACAAGTGCTTGGACAAGGAGTTGTGTAGCATGCTCTGTAAGGAAGGGCCTGATCCTCCTAATGTTGTGCAAGGCAAATCTGCAGGACCGGGCAGTTCTAGCAATGTGGTCTGTGAATTTCAACTGATCATCAATTACAACCCCAAGGTTCTTAGCTGACCTTGATGGAGTTATGGATGACGAGCCTAGCTGAATGGAGAAGTTGTGATGAAGTGTTGGGTTGGCCGGGACCACAAGTAGCTCTGTCTTCGCAAGGTTTAGTTGAAGGTGGTGGTCCTTCATCCAGCCAGAAATGTCTGTCAGGCAGGCTGAGATACGAGCAGCTACCGTCGGATCGTCAGGCTGGAATGAGAGGTAGAGTTGCGTGTCATCAGCGTAGCAATGATAGGAAAAGCCATGTTTCTGAATCACAGATGCTAGTGATGTCATGTAGATGGAGAAGAGGAGTGGTCCAAGCACTGAGCCCTGAGGCACCCCAGTAGCTAGATGTTGGGTCTTAGATGCCACACCTCTCCACGACACCCTAAAGGACCTACCTAAGAGGTAAGACTCGAACCATTGGAGTGTAGTTCCCGAGATGCCCTTCATCTTTAGGATTGACAGGAGGATCTGGTGGTTAACTGTGTCAAAAGCAGCAGACAGATCCAGCAGGATGAGGACTGAGGATTTGGAAGCTGCTCTTGCCAGTCTCAGAGCTTCAATTACTGAGAGGAAACCAGACTGATTGTCGTCCAAGAGGTTGTTCTGTGTAAGAAAGGAGGAGATCTGGTTGAAAACAACTCGTTCAAGTGTTTTCGCGACAAATGGAAGAAGAGATACCGGTCTGTAACTTGTTAGATGTGCTGGATTTAGATTGGGTTTCTTAAGCAGTGGGGTTACTCGAGCCTGCTTAAAAGCTGTGGGAAAGGTACCAGTGTGAAGAGAGGTGTTTATGATGTGCGTGAGTGTGGGTACAACTGAGGAAGAAATGGCTTGAAGTAGATTAGTGGGGATAGGATCAAGCGGACAGGTAGTAGGGCGATTGGAAAGGAGGAGTTTAGAGACTTCCGCCTCTGAAAGTAGAGAGAAGGAGGGTAAAATGTGTGCGTTTGTTGGTAAAATGTGTGTGTCAGTTTGTGGATTGGTAAATTGGCCGCTGATGGTGGTTGTTTTTTCTATGAAGAATGTGGCAAAATCGTCAGCTGTTAGGGTTGATGAAGGAGGAGGAGGAGGAGGGTTAAGAAGAGAGGAGAAGGTTTTGAAAAGCATGCGAGAGTCAGAAGAAATGAAAATTTTGTTGTGATAGTAAGCCATTTTAGCAGTAGAGATATTAGCAGAGAAGGAAGAGACAAGGGATTGATAAAGACCCAGGTCTGTCGAATCTTTCGATTTGCGCCACTTCCTCTCTGCACCCCTGAGTTTAGTACGATGTTCGCGAAGAATATCAGTTAACCAGGGGGCAGAGGGTGTGGCGCGGGCTGGCCTGGAGGAAAGGGGACAGAAGTTGTCCAAGCAGGATGTTAAAGTGGAGAAAAGAGTATCAGTTGCACTGTTAGTATCAAGTGTTGAGAGCTGATCAGGTGGAGGAAGTGTGGATGAGACCAAAGAGGATAGGTGAGAGGGTGAAAGTGAGCGTAGGTTTCGTCGAAAGGTGACCTGTGGAGGAGTGTGTGTTGTGTTCTGAGGCAGGTTGAGGTTGAGAGTGAGGAGGAAGTGATCTGAGGTGTGCAGTGGAGTGACCAGTGTATTGTCCGTAGAGCAGTAGCGTGTGTAGATAAGGTCCAATTGGTTACCTGATTTGTGAGAAGCCACAGTAGATACTCGTTTGAGGTCGAATGATGCAAGCAGGGTGTGGAAATCAGCAGCCTGAGGTTTTTCTAGGTGGATGTTGAAGTCTCCAAGAATTACAAGAGGAGTACCATCTTCAGGGAAGGATGAGAGTAGCACATCAAGCTCCTCCAAAAAACTGCCAAGTTGACCTGGGGGACGATATACAACTACAAAATGAATTTTTTATAGGACTAGTGATGGTAATTGAATGTGATTCAAATGAGCTGTTGTCAAATAGAGGTGGTAAAGGATCAAATTTCCAGTCATTTGAGATGAGCAGACCAGTACCACCACCCCTTCCGGTCAGACGGGGGGTGTGTGAGAAAGTGAAGTTAGTGGAGAGGGCAGCAGGTGTGACAGTGTCCTCTGGTCTGATCCAGGTCTCAGTCAGGGCCAATAGACTGAGACCTGAATGACTTGAAAAAGATGTAATGAAATCAGCTTTGTTAACAGCGGACTGGCAGTTCCAGAGACCAATAGGAAAAGAGAATAAAGTATTAGAAGACACCGGAAGGGTACGGAGATTGTTAGGATTGCACCGCCTCTGACGTGTGACGTTTGATTTACGTATGTTAGAAATAGTAGAGATTTGAAAACACATAGTGAAAAGGAGCTTACAAACAGAAAGATTCAAAGAAAAGTGTGTAGAAGAGAAAGGAAACAACAATAAATAAACAAGAAGAATTAATACTCAAGTGCTTTGTCGGTGTCCTTGCTCATTTGCTTATTTGTATTACGAATAGTACTGACCTAAAGGAAAATGTACTGTAAATTAGTGGTCGACCGATATTGTTTTTTTTATATTTATATATAATAAAATTAATGATGGCCAACTTTTTTTAAAATAGCTGTGGTGTGAATATTAAAATCATCCTAAATTTTTTCATGTTTTATGGTTCGATGAGAACAGATTTCAATTGTGGATGAATAAATATCAAATAAAATATCTGCTTTGTTTTCTAGGGCCAAAAATCATTTTCATGATACTTTCAACAAAGATCCTTCTTCCAGCAACAGTTGCAAGAACAAGGACATATATTGAATGGATTTGAATTCCAGAAATCCTGGGACCAGAGGACTGTAGCTGAACAAGTAAGGGATGCCTTTGGAGAAAACAAGTCACTCGAGGGTTTTTCCAAACCTGCCTTCTCAGAAATCTGGTTGCAGCCGTTGATATCTTCCCTTTTCTGCCCCGTCCAGGTAGTGTAACCACTGTTCCTTAAACTTTGAACTTGCGAACTTTGCTTCCAACGGTGTCTCCAGGAACATTTAGTGCCTTCGCTATCTTTTTGTATCCTGTTCCTTGTTTTTTAAGGGTGATGATATCTTCTCTTAACTTTTTGGACTATTCTTTTGACTTTCTAACATTGTTTGATTTGTTCATTGCAAACAGCTGAAATCTGTACATTTTGCCTGATTTGTATTGGGGGTTGAATAATTTCGATTACAACTGTGTGTGTATATATATATATATATTTATATATAGGCTATCATTTCAGTAAACCTTTATTTTATTTCAAGCTACAAAAATGATCATGGTTATATAGTTTTAGTTTCAGTAACTATAACACAGCATCGCACAGCACCAGTCTAATGTTTCAAACCTGCCCGACTTTCATTATTACTGTTTACCACACATTCGAATTATGTGTAGTATGTAGGCTATTTTACATGGTCTCATAACTATCACACAGAATTCTTTATAGCATATCAATGCCATGTTCGTGTCTTGTCTAGTCTTGTCCAGTTGTCTCACAACATTGTCATGTTCTGTTTGCATGTTTTTTTCTGTAACCGAGTTTGTTATTCATTTGTTCCCATGGTTTTAGATTTAGTTACGCAGCTCTTGTTCCATTAATCATTCCATCTGTCTATTTAAGCCATCAATTATTTCTGTTCATTGTCCGGCGTCTTTAATACATTATGTGTGCAGAGTTTCTCAGTGTTTATTAAAAGCTAACCTCGCATTGTTCATTCTGCCTTTTGGATTTACACAGCCACCGTGGCAGTAATTGTATGGACTGGCATTAAGATTTGTTTTCAGTGCATTTAACAGCCAATATTATAAACCAGAAGTGGGTGTATCAGCGGATAAAGTGGCCAGCTTTGAGCTTTTCTAACTAATGACTATTTACCTTTTAAAATAGAGAGCAACACAGGCTGCACTCGACTCAATATTTACACTGTCTTACCTTTCTGGATTCAAATTTAGTATGTCACATGTTAATTCAGTTGGCCTTAAGGGATAGTTCACTTTGAAATTAATTTTTGGTATGTTTTAGCTTACCTCAAGGGCATCCAAGATGTAGGTGTCTTTGTTTCCGCAGTAGTTTCAATTTTGATATTTTTAGGTCAAACCTTTCTTGTCTGTCAGTCATATAATGCAGGTCTATGGTCACCACCTCAAAGAGCATGCACAGAGAAGTCCAAATTAAACATGATTTAATGACTCGTAAATGTAAAATGTAAAAGCGCCGGCGCCCTCAGATCACTTGGACGTGGCTGTGGTTACAACAGGGTAAAAACGATATAAATACTGTTCGTTTTCTCACACAAACTGCTCGTTTCGTGTCTCAGGCCATCAATGTGTACTTACATTTACGAGTCATTAAATCATGTTTAATTTGGACTTCTCTGTGCATGCTCTTTGAGGTGGTGACCATAGACCTGCATTATATGACTGACAGACAAGAACGGTTTGACCTAAAAATATCAAAATTGAAACTACTGCGGAAACAAAGACACCTACATCTTGGATGCCCTTGAGGTAAGCTAAAACATACCAAAAATTAATTTCAAAGTGAACTATCCCTTTAAGTACAGTTTAACACCAAAGCACTCAGGCTTTTATGTCTTTCTGCTTTTGGTTTTGGTCCTAATTGCCCTACACATATCATCGGTGTGAAAGCTGTTTGGTGAAAGGTAACACACGAAGAGAGAACACATCAGGAACCAAGAGAACCTGAATCTCAGGTATATTCCAATGTTTTTCCGAGTCTCTTTTTGTCATTTAATCACAACAGTAGATTCCTTTCCTTCACATTGTCATGTGAAATCTATTTGTACATGTGACTATTATCAGCTTAGAGGTGACGTGCAATTTCCCACAAATGCGTGTTGTAAAACTGGTTGTGCAACTGTTTAGATGCTCTAGATAGGGGGGGTTCAACGCATTCAGTAAAAGGCCACTGCTTGTTTTGTCCGCAATGCTTTGCTTGTCATTATGAAGAACTTACCTGTTGTCTCTTCACACATTTATCGCGCACGGTGCGGTCGCAACATGAAACTGTGGTTTGTTAGATCTTTTATGGCTGCATGCGTTTGCTTTATCTACTGGAGTTTGCTGGGATTGATGTCATCAGAGGACTGGAGCACATTTCAGAGGTCAGTACCAACACACACTCTTCCAGGGGCGCGGAGATCAGCACTTGTCTCATGTAAAAGATTGATTGAAAGCATCCGTTTTAGTCACATGGCGAGAAGACACCGGCTTAAATATGTCATACTATATAAATATACACTACCGTTCAAAAGTTTGGGGTCAGTGAGAATTTTATTTTTATTTTTTGGAGGAAAGAAATCAATACTTTTATTTATCAAGGAATAATTAATTTGATCGAAAGTGACAGTAAAGACATTTATAATGTTACAAAAGATTCTAACCCTAACCCTATTCATCAAAGAATCCTAAAAAAAAACACACAAAAAAACTGTACAACTGACAGACCAACAACTGTTTCAACATTGATAATAATAATAAATGTTTCTTGAGCATCAAATCCTCATATTATACTGATTTGTGAAGGATCATTTGACACTGAAGACACTGACACTGGTGATGCTGAAAATTCAGCTTTGATCACAGGAATAAATTACACTTTACTATATATTCACACAGAAAACAGCTGATTTACACTGGAATAATATTTAATACTATAACTCATTTTTGTTGTATTTTTAATCAAATAAGCGCAGCCATGGTTAGCAGAAGAGAATTCTTTTAAAAGTATTTAAAATCGTACCGACCCCAAACCTTTGAACGGTAGTGTATATATGATAAAAAATATATGAAATATATGTCCTACTGATAAAAAAAGACGGTCACCTATGGCAAGCCGTTTCGACTTTTAATCATTCCATCCATTTCAACAATTCAGTTGACTCTAATTAAAATTATTATTCTTGATGTCAGTAATTGTATTTTCACACATAACAGCTTCCATTCCAATTTAATTACAGATATCAATAATTCATACTAGTTGAAATTCCAGTTTCACATATCAGAAATACAATTCTATTGTAGACAAGACAAGAACGGGTATTGTTCAAAATTCATAACTTTGATGAAAGGTTTTGATCCACTTCAAATGTTGACTACTGTAGTTTAGATCATCATTTTTGATATCAGTAATTACATGGTTTTAAGTGCAAATGTCTATTATTTATATCAACAATTAAATTGCTATAGTAAAAAAATTCATTTTTGATATCAATTTTTGTTTTGTTTTTTTTTTACCTTTATTTAACCAGGAGGTCCCATTGAGATTCAGAATCTCTTTTACAAGAGAGACCTGGCCAAGGTAGCAGCCAAACCACAACAAATGCATACATAACAAACACTAAATTACATTTTCATGATAAAAGTAGTACAAAAAGAACACAATTAGACTCTTAAGAAAAACAAGAACATGTCTCCATCACAACACTCTTTACAGTAGTTTTAAATTCATTTATGGACATAAGGGTTTCTAACCTTAGCTCTTTTTGTAGATTATTCCACCCCCAAGGTGCTAAATAAGAGAAAGCAGTTCTTCCCAATTCGGTTGTAACTCGTGGCACGTTAAAAAGCAACCACTTTGAGGAGCGTAGCTGATAGGTACCAGAGCAGACAGAGAGGAGGTTACAGAGGTACAGTGGAAGTTTGCCAAGTATAGCTTTATAAATAAAGATATACCAGTGCTGCTGTCTATGAATTTTAAGTGATGTCCAACCAACTAAATCATAAAGAATGCAGTGATGGGTAAGGGACTTTGTATTTGTTATTTACATTTACATTTAGTCATTTAGCAGACGCTTTTATCCAAAGCGACTTACAACTGAGTACTAAACCAAGCGAGTCATCGTGAAGAGGCAAAAACAACGCAAGAAGTGCTCAAAATACAAAGTTCAGACATAGCTAGCATAAGCCAGGCAAGCGAGGATTTAGAGGAAAGGATTTTTTTTTTATTGTTTTTTTTTTTATGTTATGTTAAGTGCTCCCGGAAGAGATGAGTTTTCAGTTGTCTTTTGAATGCTGTCAGCGATTCTGCATTACGGACGAGGGTGGGGAGATCATTCCACCAGCATGGAACCGTGAATGAGAATGTTCTGGAGAGTGATTTTGTGCCCCGCTGTGATGGTACCACGAGCCGTCGCTCATTGACCGATCGTAGGCTTCTGCGAGGGGATGAAAAAAGAGTTCAAGTTCAAGTTCAACCTCCCCAAAATAGTGCATGTAACTAAGGGCACGTTTACACGACAACGATGTACTAAAAACGTAAAAGTTTTTCCTTTTCACGTACAGATGACAACGTTGTCCCAGTTTCCGGTCACCGTTTTCAAAAATTCAAGTTTTGCTTTTTCAGGCCCCCAAAACGGCGTTGTTTTTTAAATGTATGACCAAAACGCATAAAAAGTTAAAGTTGAAAACTGTCAACGTAGCTAAACATTTAGGCTAATATTTGACAAAGGTTTTACGACAGAAATGTTCAGCGACCGACAATAATATCCAGTGATGCAAACTTTTAGGTGAAAGAAATTTCACCATTTTAAATTGATCATACGCTATTATTTACATAATTCATGTAATTCATAACTGAATGTGACGTGACAATAAACTGTTTGTGTTTTTACATATTAGACATGAATAAGAGGGAATGTGCATATTTTAAAATAAATCATCATTTGCACATAGTTTAAATTGATTACTTCATAACTACAAACGACCTGGGGCCAGTTGCATAAACTTAGCATAAAGTCAATAATTTTATCACTTAAAAAACTCATCGTTGATCACCAAAATTACATATTTAAAAGTTTTTTCCTTGAAAAAAATTCATGTCTTAAAATAGCTTGAATGTAACTCTACACCCTTGACTCATTTAGTGTATGGGGTTCTATGAATATGCAAATTATGTTTGTGATGTCAGAAACACCAGCCGTGTTTTTGAGACTGTCTTTGGTTCACTGCAGTTTTAAGGAGAAAATACTCAGCAATGCTGTCGACTTATGAGTTTGTACATGGTTTGTATTAAAGCATATATTTCTGATTAAAATGATTTCTATTTACCTTTTTACTTAGAAAGTTAGAACCAGTCTAGAAGAAAAAATTAGATGACTAACTTTAAAGACTAGAGTGAGTTTATGCAACCGGCCACAGGAACTTTAACAGTTCTATCCCTTTTAATACCTTAAAATCCCCTTTAATCCTTTAATTTAATTCCTTTGAGCCATCAATGGTTATACCTATAACAATAGGTTTAACAAATGCCACAATGGCAAGAACTATGATACATTTTTATAAGGCAAGTACAAAGAAGCAAGAGCTTTTAAAATGTTGGGTCCCTGCGATATCCGCCGCCCTCACAAGTTAAGTTAAGTAAAGTTAGACTTCCCACGGCACTTTCAAGCAGAAAACTATCAAACTGAAAAGGTTTCAGATGCTTAAATAAAATAAAATAAAATACTTCCTATCTATCCTATGCAAACAAGGAATTATGTCAAATATTAATTAACTGCAGTAATCAACTTTACATGTGTGGGTTTTAGGTAAGCTACCACAAAACAAAATACTTCAACTAAAATGCTTCATACGTGAAGCCACCAATGTTCAAACTAGGTTCACAGGAGTTTAAGCAAATTTTCTGGACACCGTGTGTGAACATTTCATCTGTCTTTTATGTAAATAAGCCTTCTTGATTCACAGGCAGCTTTCTGTGTATCCTGTTCCCAATAATTGACAACAGGCACATTCATTCTTCTTGACTTTCATTCTTTTGAAAAACACAACATGCCTTCTTACCTCAGGTTATAGACTAAACTAAACTATGTCAAAGTTCTGCTGCTTCCTTCACTAACTGTAACAACTAAAGCATGAGTTAAAATTTGAAAAAGATACATATATACGATAATTAATAATAATTCATTACATTTATATACCGAATAAAGCACCGTTTCCATCCAGTCAGTCGAAGAGAACAAAATCGTCACTTCCTGATAAACTGGTGCTATAATAAGAAAAATGGAAGTTTCTGCAGTAGGAGAAGCCACTGTATATAATAATGTTCATATAATATAATACTCTAGTACTCGTCAGAACGCGCAGACGAAACGCAATAAACACGGTCCTGTCATCTTGCTTTCCGAGGCGGATGCCTGTTTGGGAATGCAGTCGTGTAAGACAGGAAGGTTATTTTCATGGGAGGTTATTTTACCGAACAATTTTGACGACAGACTTTGCTCAGGCATTTCAGAACAACCAAAACAGCATTTCAGATGCTGTGCAACGAGATTGGTCCGCCGGTTGGTCAAGTTATGCCATTCCATCATGCAAAGTCGCATGACTTTTTTAATGCGCATTGGGGAATTTATTTGTTAAATGTGTTGCTATCATAGTTTATGTGTATGTTTTCTTATTGGAAAAAAAAAAATCAGACTCAGTTGAGCGCATACGTTTTATTTTTGAATTTATGTGCATCTTGCCGTTTCCATCCAGTGTTTTTTATGTGATATCCCAAAATGTGCTTAAAAATAGGTGGATGAAAACATAGCTAGTGACCGCTGGCGACAGATCAAGCGATGCAAGTCATGTGACAAAGTTAAAAAAAAAGCTAATTTTGCACAACCAAGGCCCTGTCCCAAATGGCGCACTTCATGCGGACTTTCGGTCTCGTGGACTTAAATTGCGCGTGCTCGCCGAGTCTACGAGTCCGTAGGCCGTCCCATTTAGCATTTTAACGCTCTGAAGTGTGCTCAGCAGCGCCCCCTTTGTACCCTTAAAGCGGTCTTCTGCGAAGCCCGCATAGATGCAGGCTCCACGCACTTTAACTACCCAGGAATCCTTGCGAAAGGCCAATCAGACAACGCATAGGAGGAGATTTCGCTCACGGACAATTGTTAACATGGCTGAGAAGAAAGTGTTAATAATTTAAGTGTAATTATCATTACGGTTTTTATGACAAGTTTATACAAACATTATGATCATCGATCAGTGGTTGATGTCTCAAACATAGCGAGCTGAATAATACGATCGCATTATGATTCATTAAATAAATAGAACAGGATGTCAGGGCTTTACTGAGTCATATGTAAACACAACAACAATAGGCAGCATATTTCCCCGAACCTGTAGCTCCTGTCCATAACAACAATCAGACCGTCTTCCTGTTTCCGGCGTGACGATCGAGTCTGTCCCAAAAATACCTCTCAATGCGGACTCGCGCTAAGGGCCCTATAGGTCTGCACTACATGACGTCACCGAAGTGTGGACTCTGAGGAAGTCCACAAGTCCGGAGTGTGCCATTTGGGACAGGGCCCAATAGGAGTGAAGACAGTCAGTGGAGTTCAGAAAAAGCTAATTTAGCTTAACCAATAAAAGTGAAGACAGTCAGTGGAGTGCAGGCAAGACAGGACCGAGTTCGGGAGCGATTTCGCTGTGCTAAATGATTTGACTGTATAAAACGATGCATGGAAAAGAAACTGTCGGCAGTGTCCGTGAGTTTGATTCGTACATTGATAGTTCTTTCAACTCCTTTTTAGCAACCCCAGAGTGATTGGGGGAGAATAGCTCAAACCCTGACTTGAGTAAAGGTACTTCTCCAGGACTCAATATAGTTAATTGCTAAACTATAAAATCAGGGGCGGAGCTAGACGCTCAGTACAGTGGGGGCGGAGCTTCATCATGGGGCCCTCTGCTACCAAATCATTTTAAAATTAAAACCGTAAAAAAAACCGTAAAATATCTGATGAATGCATATGTAATAATGTGTCACTTGTTTAGCCAAGTAAGCTTATATGTTAAATAAAACACAAAGGCTATCTCGTTCTTTTCAGAGAACAGTCTGTTTTCTTTCGTTTTGAATTGTTCTGTAAAAGTACACATTTCGAGCTTTCTAGATATATTTCTCAGGTGTGTGAGGCAAGTAGGCCTACCTTATACGCTGTGTTTCGGTTCATTTATGACTCACAAGACGAGCTCCAGTTCACGCGCCGGCCCCTCCGTGTCGTGATTATCAATTGTCTGCTATAGCCTATTTACTTCTTATTTATTAAATCCAGGCAATTGGTTGATGAAACATTGATTAAAATTAAGATACAATTAATACAAAACGAAATTCGCCTTAATGAATGGCTTTGTACTTTGATGTCTTTGATGAAAATTTTAAAGCAGTCTTTCAGTGGCGCTTTCAGAGCGCTCACGTCCGTAACGGGGAACTGTCTCGTAACATTGTTTTTCCCTCATAAATGCGAGCACGAAAAATAAGACAAAATGAATATTTTGTTCTGTGGAGATCCAGCCCTTCTTCATCCGGTGGGTATTGCTTTTTGTAGCTACGTTTGCCACCTAAAAGTTAAAGTTTTTTTGTGTCACGTCCGTGTATTTCCCTCATATTAAATATAAAATGCATGTGTAGACTGATATTTTTCTAATGTCTGGAGTCTGGACTCCTTTATTAAGGAGTATAAACAGACGTTTCAATATATTGGTATTAAATGCATTTTCTAAGAATTTACATTTCAAGTTTTTTTTACCTCAAATGTCACGTCCATAACGCTGGAATTGCCCAATTTTAAAGAAATTATCCTCAACTAGTTTTGTGGTGTAGGTCTACGTATTTTATAATGTTAACTTCAAATAATAGCCTACTAATAGTAATTTAAAGATGTGGTAGCATTGGATCTGGACAGGAAGGATAACGCTGGGAGTTGGAGTGTGTCGCGATTCTGCCTTCTCACACACGTTTCGGTATCATATTGCATATCAGCCATCATTTCTAAAGAAAATGACAAAAATAGTAATGCACAGTAATTTGGATAAGTAATTTTAATCTGATTACTGGTTTGGAAATAGTAACGCGTTATTACTTGTTACTGAAAAAAGTTACCGGCATCACTGCTGGCGAGGGGCCCCAATTGGCACGGGGCCCTGGGGCGACCGCACTCAAGCACCCACGCTATCTCCGCTACTGTATAAAATGCTAGAATAATAAGGAGGGATGCCAATGGTGATCCTCCTCTACTCATCAGTTCATAACACTGATCATCCCTATAGAAGCAATCCACCAAAGAGGAGCATAGATCCCTTCTTCAAGACCCAACATCAGTCGGGGAGGAAAGGGAGGCATAATTGCAGTTTGCCTAATAACTCTTATCACCCAGTCTCTAAACCCCAGGAAAGCCCCAGGGGAGCATAGGCCCTACTTAAAGACCCCAATGTAATTGGGGGAGAGCAGCTCATACTCTGTCGTGAGTGAAAGCACTCTAAGACCTGCTAATGCTTCGTCTTTTTTCAGCACTAGAGCCCAGTATGCAACAGATAACAAGGAGGGATGCCCCACAGGCGAGTTTCCTCTACATATTAGCATTGTCGAACCAGGACTATGGTAGTGTATACCCATAAAAAAACTCATCCAAAGGGTAGCATACCTCCCCAAATAAGATACAAAAATTCGCTTTGGACGCCGTGCTGGTGCTTGATAAAGGACAAAAGGGACAGTTGTGTGTCAGGTCTGTAGCCTAAACACTATGGCTGACTCAGAGCAGGATCATCGATAAGAGGACTCGTTAACGTCGACGGCATACCTTATCGATAGATTGTAAAAAACCGGTTCTCGACCGGTTTTCAATTCCCATCCCTACAATGGACCTTTATATTTCACTAATGTCACCACACCTTAATGTCAAACATGTTTTGATTACTCAGTGTAAACCTTCTGCATTAAATAAGCATTTTCATATCTTTTTAATCTCATCTAAGGGACCCACAAATCCACTAGTCGGCCCTGATCTTTTCAATGAGTTTTTTGACTGAGGGCTAGTTATCATGCAATATAATATAGCCTACTATTATGTAAGAACAGTTGTAATGATTGCTTCACCATGATTTGATGTTTACTCAATCTTTTGATTTTAACCTCGAGCGGAATGTGTTGACACACAGAAACGCCTCAAGCTAAATTTCGTTTTTAACTGCATACCATATTCTTACAGATAGATACTGTTTCCTCATAGCCCAGTGTTGCCAGACGTACGATAATTATCGTATTTGTACGATAATTTTGACCTCTGTACGATGTACGATCAATAATGGAAAAAAGCCCATAATGTACGATAATTTCAGAATTTTGTGACACTTCAATCGGAGGTCATTGTAATCATAGTGCTTCTACACTCATTGATCTAGCTGTGGATCTACGTCATGATTGTGAGGAGAAAGTGAAGATGAGAGAGCACGGCAGAGAGCGAGAGACCTTGCGTGTGTGTGTGCCTCATGAAAGCCAAACACCCCATCAACAATCCAGTCACCTCTCCCCCCAATCAATAATTCAATCCCCCTCCCCTCCCCTCCCTTGAGCTTCTGGTATGATACTTGGATATTTCCAATCTGGCAACACTCTCATAGCCTCCAAAGTGGAGTGGGAAGTATATTTTAACATTTTGGAGTGTCTCTGTTATTTTGTAACAAGTATAAATGTGATATTTAAGTATAAATGTGGCATTGTGATTTTGCCGAGTTAGACATGTTCCTGGGTCAACATACTTTGATGATCATGGAACAACATTCCTGTCTGAAAATGTAGCCTTATTTCCCTACAGCTAAACCTAACCTTACCATACATTCTCCCTAAAATCAGAGGGGAATGATGGTGAATAATTCTGATGTAGAAGCACCTAACCCTGACTGTAAACCTAAACTTGACATCAACTTTAATCTTATCCTTCAAGTCTGGTTGGTTGACTGGAGTGTTGTTTCAGGATCAACAAAGTTGAACATGTTTTACTTGGCAAAATCAGGTTCTGTGTGACTGTTGATTGCCGAGTCCCGCATATAGTCTAGTGTTACCTTAACCAGGCCATTGATTTGGTAAGGCAAACTCGAGATGGAATCTTTCGCAAATTTCATTAGTCAACAATGTGGATTTGAACCATGAATTTAATTTCTACTCTTCTTCTAAATGTGCTGAAATGCAATGGCACTCTGTTTCATATCCCATTAGCATTTGAAGGGAAACTGGAGGTTATGTTTCAGGAATGTGTTCCGGTATAAGGGTCAATGGGGTCAAGTTTCTGTATTTCCTATATACCCTATATATTGATTCATATAATTCCCCTCTTGTTAAAGAAAGACTTTCTCTTAGGTTTTGATCTGCTTTGCTCTGCAGGGCTACGGAAGTAAGCTGGATTGTTAACGAAATCGCTGAAGAGGAAGTGCCATCCTGCTCTTTGAGACGTATCATAAAGCAGGAAGACAGTCTGAAAACACATTTTAGCTTCTCAGTGCCTGTTCTGCAGTGGCGTGATTCTGTTATTTACTCACATTGGCAAACGCTCCGGAGAGAACCGCTGCCCTACGGCTGGAAGGACCAGCCTTTCCATGGTAAACCCATCCTATAGCAATAGCACCATAAACAAGGAAACAAAACAAAACCATAAAAGTTCTCAAAGCATCTTTGTTTTCCAGAAATTTTCAAGACTCTTTCATTGCTTTCACATCCTGGCAACAGTCGTCTGTTTGAGCGGAAAACGCCGGATGCATGTGTGCGTTGTGCCGTGGTGGGTAACGGAGGTATCCTCAGAGGATCCGGGCAGGGGAAGGTCATAGACAGTCACGATTATGTTTTCAGGTTTGTGCGTTCTATTAGGAAAGCAAATGAGCTGCCTTCTGATATTCAGTTTCATAAAAATAAAATGAACCTTTAAGATGAAGTGTGTAATCTTTTGATGTCAAAATCATTTCTCTCACAGTGGTTTATATGTGCACGCAGTGACTCTTAAAAATAATGGTTCCAAAAGGGGTTTTGCAGCGATGCCTAAAGAACCTTTCAGTGAACAGTTCTAAAAAGAACCATTTTTTATAAAGAATCTTTTGTGGAATGGAAAGGTTCCATATGTTCTTCCATGGATGTTAAAAGGTTCTTCATGGAACCATCGATGCCAATAAAGAACCTTTATTTTTAAGTACGCTTATAAGAATAAATAATAAATTAAGGGGAAATGTATAAAACCATACAGTGTTGGGTGTAATGCGTCACTATAAGTAATTAATTACTGTGATATAATTACTTTTCCCTTGAAAAAGTAAAGTAAGGGATTACTCTTAATTTTTCTGTAAATTACTTCTAATGTAATTGCATTAAATATTGTATAGTTATAGAACAATTAAGACTATAGAACAATTCTATAAAAAACAAACAAAAGTGGATTTAACATCAAAATTTTAACGCCTAATGATATATTTGTATGTTTTTAATGTAACTGTTATGAGGGATTCTGTTCTTGTGTTTGTTTTTGGTGGGTTTGCACTTTCTTTGTTTCCAATGTTTGGTTCCCAAGGTTTTTCAATGATTGGATAAGTTTCTACACCTGTTACTCGTTTCTTTGATTGCTTCAGCCTTGTGTATTTGTGCTTGTTTTCAGACATACGTTGATCGGTTTTCGTCCTAGTTGGATGTTTCCGTTCCTGGTTTTGAGATTGAGTTTCCTGAGAGTTTTTGTTACAATTTTTGAGTTTTGAAAATAAACACTGCACGCGAGTAGATCCAGCTTTATTTCGGAGTCCTGCCGCCCTTTCAACCAGCCGTGACAGTAACCTTCTCACTTTAAATACTTTGGTCAGTTAAAGAATCATTTATGCAATTTCATATTATTTATTTGAAAGAATTTAAAAAAGAGCCGTTTCATGTATATCCTTGTATTGTTCAACTGGTCGAGATTGAAATGGGATTTAGAAAGTAATTAGTTATACAATACTTTATATTGAGAGAATAATTACAGTAATCTAATTACACTGTTGAAGATTTAATTAGTAGCTAGTAATTAATTACTTTTTTAGTAACTTACCCAACACTGATGTCATATAAGTAGCCCAATAAAACGACTTTTTTTTTTTTTTTTTTGAGGTCACCTAATGGGGCTGGACATGTTGAGATCACATGACCAACCACATCATCTCTGGAATAAACCAATCATGACAAACAGTGAATAGAGCCTTTCTATAATGGCATCAGTAACTGATGCATCGGTCCTAATAGATATAGTTAAATCAATTTAAAGATAACTATTTTATTAAAATATGTCATTTTACTATTTATCCTTATTTATATATTATATAAACATATCATCAAACATTTCCTTGCTAGAATGCATTGTGAATAATGTCCTTATGTTGGATTAATCAGATCTCTGTAGCTATAAAAAAAAGTGTAAACAAAGGTTTTTAATTTAGTTTAAAATGTAATTAAACATGAATAAAAAGAAATTAGAGTAAAATAAGTAAATGAGTGAACAAATTAATAAATACATATAACAGTACAGTACTATAATGGGTAGAAACAAATATAATGTAACCTTCCAAATAATATTTTGACATAATTATGATTTTTTTTTTCACAGTACAAATTTGCCTTTTTTAAATTTTAGGATGGGGGTCACTCACAGAAAAATAATTATATTTAGGGGTCTGTCTGTGGGCGTGGCATCTAAAAGATTGAAAACCCCTGATCTAACATTCACTAAACCAATTATTAGAACAAAATATCTTGAAATATTATGAAATATTAGAAAACTGATTAAAAACATTCACTGCATGGGCAAATTCTAAATATCTGGCATTTGTTTTCTTTAGATTATTAGTTGGATTAGTACTACCATGATAGCGCAATGATGCTAATACTAATTGTAATTATTGTTTAGAGTCAATGGGGCAATCATCAAAGGTTTTGAAGACGATGTTGGGACAAAGACGTCTTTCTACGGCTTCACCACCAACTCCCTCAAGAACTCCATTCTCGCTTATTACGAAGACGGGTTCGACCAGGTGCCACGTGACCCGGTAACGGACCTTCTCGTTTGCTATTTAGGAATCATAATGCGGAAACGTTACCCTCTGCTGGTTTGCTGAAGAATTGCGGTGCGAAATGACTAATGTCTGAGACGTTTAACCACAGGGCATTGGATATATTTTTATACCTGCGGAAACTCGAGACTATAAGATGTTGTCAGCTGCCATCCAGGGTGTGTCTGTACCCTCCGGGCCTGATAAAGGTGAAAGGTGGGTGTGACAATAATATTCATACACGTTGCTATTTACTGACGTCTTTTTTCAATCTTAGCAGGAACCTTGCAGCGCACAAAATGAGCAGCAGATGGTGCATTACTCCTACAATTTGGGCTGAGCCGAATTCACAATGTAAAAAAAAAAAAAAAAAAACCTGGCTCAGATGACACACAAGTTGATTAAAAGTCGTTGCAAAATGTGCTCAGATCAGAAATTGAAGGTAGTTTTAAAAATAGCAACTGCAATGATAAAGTGTATATTTAAGTGTGGCGTCCAAATAATTATTTTGTTCAAGATGACAGGCTATCAAAGTAATTAGTAATATGTGCAAGGGTGGGGCGAATGTTTTCATGTTATTGTTATTATTGTTATTATTATTATAGCAGTTCCCTCTCTTTTAGTTGAATTGGCCACATGTCCAATATAGGATGGAATTTAAACTGGAATGGCGATGAATCTATTCTAACAGTCAAAGAGAAATGCAACACAGTCAAAAAGAACAAAAGAACTTCATTAGTTCAACATACAATATCACTAATTACGTTGGTTAAATATGGCTGTTGGTTCCCTGATGTTTATAATAAAAAATATGTATCTGGTCATTCACATTTCTCTGTTAAATAACACTGGCCAAAACTGATAACTGACAATTATTTAAAGCCCCCCCCTGCATGTAGTCAATAATTGGATCCCTTAAAAACCAACTTTTTTTTTTTTTTTTTTTTAACTCACCTTTGATCACTAAAATTACATATTTAAAGTTTTTCCCCTTCATGCCTTAAAATAGCTTGAATGTAACTCTACACCCTTGCCTCATTTAGTATACGCGGTTCAATGAATATGCAAATGAGCCCCACCTCCACTCACTCACTCAGCTCAGAGATCCACTGGTTGACGATCACACGTTGATCTGATTGGTTACAAGGTAGTGTGTGACGTCAGAAACACCACCGATTTCAAACCGTGTTTTTGAGACTGTCTTTGGTTCACTGCAGTTTTAAGGAGAAAATAGTCAGCAATTGTTTTGACTTATGAATTTGCACATGGTTTGTCTTTAAAAACACCACATAGACATATAAACAATATTAAAAGCTTGATTTTCACCACAGGGTGACTTTACGTATTAATTACTGAGCGAACCACATACAGTACCTATACTCTATTAATTCTTTGAGGGGTTTTTTGTACTGAATGTGTAAGATGGCAGTTACTTATAATAAAAATTCATGCCCCAAAATTAGAAAAACTTTTATTATATACAATTTTAATTTACTTTTGTTGTTGAAATGAAATAAATGGCCAAATGTACATGAATTCACCCTATATGATGAACATATTGTTCATATTTAAAATAGCCTATTTTTGTATGACAATACCTTTATAGGTCATTCATATACAGATCAATAAAAAATGTCATATATGTCTAAAAGTTTTATTCAGTTTTTATTTTGCTTCTTAAAATTTAAACTACTATTTTGCATTGTTTCTGCTTTACTTAAATTGCACTGAATTGTAATTCTAAAAGGCATTCTACCGCTTCTAGAGTTTGAATTGCTATTTGAACATTTCTTTAACTTCAGTTTATTTGGTTAATAAAACAGGGCCTCGGATCTTTTTGGATATAATCCTGAAATGCATCAGTTCAAGATGATCCATCCATCCTTCGTTCATTATGTGACTCAGAGGTGAAAGTATTTTTCAACACATTCGTCAATTATTGTCACTTTTTTTCTCTCTCTCCCTCAAAGTAATGCCATTTGTATTTTTGAACAGGTTTCTGAAATCCCCACAGCTGGATGAATACAGGGATATTTACATGCCCAGCACGGGTGCTCTAATACTGCTGGCTGCTTTACACACCTGTGACCAGGTCAATCTCGAAACTCTGGTTTATTCTTATTTAAAATCTATTGCTGCAGGTGTTGCTAAATAAATGTTGTGGATGCTGGCTTCTCTCTCAGGTCTCTGCGTATGGCTTCATCACAGACAATTACATAAACTTCTCAGACCATTACTATGACAAGGTCATGAAGCCTCTGGTCCTCTATGCCAACCATGACATGATGATGGAGGGACGTCTGTGGAAGCAGCTGCACTCTCATAAGGTCTTGTGGCTCTATCAGAGACAAGAAACCAGAAAATGATACTTGATACTAAAAAAATGAACTTGCCGAAGAAGTATTTTGGATTAATCTGTTAAAAATGTCAGATCAATTCAAAGATTCGCAGTTGTTTTGTTGCACCCTGCTTTTCCTGCAACATTTAGAGGTAAGGCAACATCACTGAGAAGGAAATCCAGTCTGGTTTCCCATCACAAAACCAGCACAGAGACTGTGTGTATATTCATCTGAATTCTGGTTCTGGCAAAATATCAGTGCTGATTGATTTAGTGCCGCACTCTAGACCACAATACAGTCCTAGATAGACTGGAAAACTGTGTTTGACTCGTTGATACATGGTTTAGGTCATATATATATATATAAGAAATGGGTTCCTGTGAGAACATACACTGTAAAAAATTATCGTGATTTTAACGGTAAAAGACTGTAAAACGGTAAAAATGCTACAGTGCAAAACTGTTAATTGGTTAACAGAAAGTTTCCTTACTATATACGGTAAATAACTGTGATAGATCTAACGGAACATTTAATGTAATTTTACTGTAAAATACCGTTAAATTTACAGTTTTTGAAAGTGAAAAGAACAACTCATTACAGTGAAAAACCGTAAATTGACATTCCCACAATTCCCTGCATGACACTTCACATTTGATTTATTTTTGTTGAAATAACTATGTTTCTTCTTAGTTTTCTTAGCTATTTTCTATTCAGTTATGTACATTAGGGTTTTATGTTACATTTAATGTTGTTAAATTAATGTTTATTGCATTTTTAAAATTTCACGTGTGTTACCATGATGGTGGTTAATGTTTGTGCGAATAACACTGTGCAGCTTCAATATAATAGTATTAACTTTCTTGTGGAAGATTGTTTGTAATGAGCTTTGATTTATCATGTGACTCTCATCACTTCTGTGATGATTGTTGGTTGTCAGTGTATTACAATGGTACAAAACAGATATTAATACTTCAATAGGTTGGTAAATTATCATTATGTCAGATAATGAATTATGGTTTATTACTGTAAATTTTAAGTTAAGTCTGTAAAATCAAAAACGTTGATACCGTATTTTTGACGGTAAAGTTCTGGTAACCACAGAACTTTACCGTTTTTTTTTTCGTAAAAACAACTGGATTTTTTTTTACAGTGTAGGCAACTTTAAATTGACCTCTATGATGTGGCATCCCCCAGGGTTCAGTCCTTGGACCTCTCCACTTCAGTCTGTATAATGTGTAAATTTATATTGTCATGCCAAAAATGTATTAGACAAATCGTTCTTCATTGGTACTGTAGAGCATTCATGAAGATAGATAAAGATAAAGAAACAAAATATGTCTCCAAAAAAGACAAAACCATCCCTTGACATTTGTTGCAGCCAAATGACTGGAGCTTGGCAATACGGTAAATGATTTCTGAAGGGTCGTGTGACATGACTGCTGAAAGTCCAGCTTTGCCATGACAGGAATGAACTACATTTTAAAATATATTCAAATAAAAAATAGTAACTTTAAATTCTAATAACATTTCACAATATTATTACCTTTTTTAATCAAATAAATGCAGCCATCTTGCAGATTTCTTTCGAAGACAATAAAACAATCTTAATTATTTCGAATACTTTCGAATACGTCACAACAAAGGGCTCTCAAATCTCTGTTCTCTCACTCAAATCTCTGTACTTGATGGCACATTATTGTTTCCAAAATATACTTTGCTTTGTGCAGTGAATCTGTTCATTTATCTTACTCTATAAAAAAATCTTCAAAGCAAAGTAAACTCTTTTTTTTTGCTTCAAGGTGCTGGTTTTTAGCTTGTGATTACTGTGATAGTGACATTAACTGCTTTATTTAAACATGCCCCAGGTGTGCAACATCTGTTTGTGGGATATCCGGAAGGTGATAGCAACCCCTGATCCTTTGATCACCGCTCGCCCTTATCTCTGTGGGAGCAGGTGAAGCGATGCAGAACCACAAGCCTTGTTCTTCAGTTTTCACCTGGTTCTCCACAGCACACGGTCTCATTCAGACACTTGTCAGAGCCATATTCACTGTCCTGTTCCAGGTGACTTCATTTAGGAGGGGACAGGAAGCACTTTGATCTGTGACTGAAAAACGAGACTTCTAGATCTCAATGCATGCACCATCAAGTTTAAGCATATAAATGAGTCCAAGGAGGGTTAAGTTGTTCAGACACTTTCATGATAGCGTGTCTTCAGATACATTGAACAAAACAAACGTTGAGTTCTATTCATTTGAAGTTGCTGCACAACAACATGCGACAAATGAATGCAGATTTGGGGGGATGAACAGTATCTCACGTCTTTCTCCTAGAGACAGATATTTAAAGGGATAGTTCACACACAAATTTTAGATCTTGACTTCCATAGTATTTTTTTCTTGGAAGCTAGTGGGGTCCATCATTTTGTTCCCCATATTCCTCAAAATATCTTCTTTTGTGTTCAGCAGAAGAAACAAACAACTTGAGAGCGAGTAAATGGATAGCCTAACAGAATAAGAATTTTAGGGTGAACTATCCCTTTAAAGAGGAGCGCATGGAGACGTTTGATTATGTCTTGCTTCTTGTAAAGTAGTTTTGAGTTTGATTTCTCTTAAAATGTATCAGGACAAAGAAAAAGTAAAGCTTGTTATGGATTCATGCATCAAATGCAACACCCTTGTGGAAATGGCGAAGAGCGGAAAATGGCTCAGATCGCCATTGCCTTAATAATGCCTCTAACCATGCTCTCATTTACCAGGATATCAAAGTTTGAAATCAACTTCAAAATCTCAATATGTAGTGTTGGGGAAAGTTACTTTTAAAGGGGTAGTATAATGCCCTTTTCACAAGATGTAAAATAAGTCTTTGATGTCCCCAGAGTGTGTATGTGAAGTTTTAGCCCAAAATACCCCACAGATATTTTTATATAGCATGTTAAAATTGTCACATTTTTGTGGGCGAGCAAAAACACGCTGTTTTTGTGTGTGTCCCTTTAAATGAAAATGAGCTCCTGCTCCCGGCACAGAGGGCGGAGCTTCAAGAGCTTGTGTGTGTGTGAGCCGCTTCGATTACCTCACACAGACTCACACTGAAAATTTCAAAAACTTTTATCCTTTTATGTTCAAACCGGAGTCAGACAATGATGGAGAGACTCAAGAAGAAGTGACAACATGTAGAAGCAACAGGACATTTCTGAATGGTTAGTTGATGAATGTTAGTAGCTTATGTGTAGTTATCTTCTAGTCATTGATTAACTATATTCTGTCGTGATACTCTATAAATCGTGTTCCGGGGGCGGGATTTATGTAAATTTTAGGGTTGGTGATGTAACTAACCGGGAGGAATGTCGTGTAGTCCCTACCAGCCGTTTGTTGTAGTCCTTAAAAAACGATTTATTTAAAAGCAAAAATCTCCCTTTGCTTTGAACTTTGAGCGCTGTAACTTTGCAGATGTTGTTTATGCTCAAACAGCAACATTACACACTAACTAAAGTTCTAACTAAAAGTCATAATCAACCACCCCTTTAAAAGCAATATTGTGTTACTCCCTAAAAAAGTAACTAACTGCATTTCTTTTTATGGAAATTAATGCGTTACGTTACTTTTTCTCATCTAAGCTGCGCTTGCTTGCTTGTTTTTTACAAAAGTCATTTTTTTCCGCAAATGTAAAGGCCTTTTCACACCAAAAGTGAAATGAAGGCTGAAGAAAATGCACATTCACACCTGTACAGTAGAGGGCGCCGCTCAAACAAACCTTTCAGCTGTTCTGCTGAAAAAAGTTCAACACAATAAAACAAAAAAAGAAAAGAACCACAAATGTGATGTTAATCTAAAGTCATTTTTGCTTATAAGTAGGGTTGAATTGGATCAGCAGCAAAGAAATTGTAGTGAGATTAAATACAAAAAGCATGTGTAATTTAACATTTGGTTTGCATAATATTCTGAGTTTGCATTTTATTTTTTTTATTCGTTTTGAGAAATAGGGAATGTTTTTGTCCAAGTGAGATGAATAAATGCCTCCTCACATTTAGTCTAGAGCTACAATAACCGTCATGTTTACATGATCATGCCTCAGGAGAGGTGTCAGTCATGGGGAAACAAACTAACGCAGATATTTTGATGTACATTTAAAAGTAATGTGTTACTTTGCTACTTGAAAAAGTAATCTGATTACATTACTCAGGTTACTTGTAATGCGTTACCCCCAACACTGTCAATGTAGGATAAAGCGGGGCACAACCTAACGCGGGGCTAGTTGTAACACATGGTTTAAAACTTTCCACACATGCTAGCTTGACGAAACTAGTTGCCATATCAATATAGAGAAAAAATTGCGGCAAAATGAAGAAATCTTTGGAAGATATCACTGAACATTTATTTAGCAATAGTACATATCTTACTTAAGTTAATTTTTCATCTCTGTTTTTTGTGTTTATTTAAAATTAGACAAATCTGATATTATTTTAATCGCATATCTATTATTTAACAGTTGAGAACTTAGAACTATCTATTCTATACTTTTATGAAATCTATTGAGAAACCATGAGAAAAAGGGTGAATAAAGACTGATTCATTATTATTATGTTTTGAACTATGCTGTATAGATGTTTTGCGGTGTGTTTGTTGTCAAACTCAAAAAGTAGTTTATTTTTATTTATTAAAACATGTGATTATTTTATATGAAAAAGTTAATAATTGTATTTTATTGACAAGATTTTTGAGCTTGTCTCCAAATTTTATTTATTTATTAGATCATATATGGTCATGTTACAATGGGGCACGTTGTCACATTTCACTTTCATTCTTTCTCAAGATTAAAGTAGCCTATACACTGTATTAATGAAACAACGCCACATAATTATACTAGACATGTGGGAAATTAATGTGGGAAAAAAATAAATACTCTGGACCCCAAGGGGATTTACACAAACTGATGCCCCACTCTCCCCTATACTATTTTGCATAAAATTTCCCCAAAACCAAATGATATGAGCTGAATTCTCTCCACACACACTAATTTCATAGCTTTATAGCTCTGTGCAATGAACAATACATTGAGTTATAGGTAACACTTTACTATAAGGTTAATCAGTTAACACTAGTTATTAACTAACACGAACTAACAATGAGCAATACATTTGTAACAGTAATTATTAATATTTGTTAATGTTAGTGTTAAAAGCTGTTCATTGTTTGTTCATGTTAGCATTGCATTAACTAATGTTAACAAATACAACCTTTGGTTTTAATAATGTTTCAGTAAATGTTGAAATTAATATTAACTAAAATTAATAAATGCTGTAGAAGTGCATTATTAGTTTATGTTAACTCAAATAGCCTATAACTCGGTAACACTTTACAATAAGTTTTTTTTAGTTAACATTAGTTAACTAAAAAAACTTGTTGTAAAGTGTTACCGAGTTATAGGCTATTTGAGTATCTAAATAATATAACTGCTTCACGAATGCATCAGATAGGATGGGGGTGAAGGCGCTCCGGTGAGTGGCGGCGGATGGGTCCCAGAGGGCGGCAGAGCGGCACAGCTGATGCCCCGGAGCGCGTCGCGTCGGGCGGCAGGGCAGCGCTGCTCCCTCCCCCTGGAGGAGGGCCGATCCCCCGCACTCGAGCTGCTCTGACTGCCTCTCTCACACTCACAATGCTGGAGCTCTCCAAACACGCACATGCAAATCCATGCAGGCGTTCAGTTTGGGAGAAAATACTGGCGAGAAAATAACTCGAGAGCGCGATTAGCAGTAGTCGAGGTTGTTCACACTTCTAGCGTGTTTATCGGCTAAGAGTTGACTAAAGGTGACTTTGAGTTGGTTGTTGTTGCTGAAGAAGTGTCTGGACTGGAGCGAGTGAACGAGCCACTGATCCCGAACCCGCTGTTATGAACTCTTTACACTAAAGTAATGGTAAGTGTGTTTATCATAATTGACGGGGGAGTATTGTTTGTGCTGAATATTGGGTTAAAGTCTTACAATGTTGTTTTAAAGCAATTTGTATTTTTGTTAGTTTGTGTTTAAATCGATAGTTATCGCGCTACTTGATGTGATTTCACCGAATATCGTTTCACTTTCGTGTTTTCTCAAACTAAATCACCGTACTAACTAGTTCCCGCGAAAATACGATGTTTATTGTTTTTGTTTTAAAGTTGTAAAGTGTATGAAGCTTTATGGTTATATATATTTCTTTCATTACAGCGGCAGCTAATACCAATACCTTTCAGTTCAGCTGTGGTATTTTGGCGGACACTAATGTTACAGTGTGCTATTAGATGTAGGATAGCCTACCTTAACTTAACTAGCGCCTGCTGCATGTTTTATGGTTGTATGGTGGTGTTATGAAGAAAAGTGTTATGTCATTGTTTGTTTATTTTGGCACTCATGTGATGTCTGTCCTCGGAGACTTGCTGTATGGATTGAAGGGGTTGTGTAGTAAACATCTAGGCTGGTAACCTAAAGAATAACCCCTCAAGAGCTGATCCTTCATCAACCTCAGGTTACCTTTCAGAGATATCTGTTCACAATTGGGCTGTGTTAAAAATAAGGCTGTAACAGTATGATATTTTCACGTTATGATAATCTTCTCAGAAAATATCATGGTTTCACGAAATTCGGTATTCAAATAATATTATCATCAGTTAATATATCAATCAGCTTACTTGATACAGCTTTACTGTCAATAGCAGACTTGAAACCATCTACTTTGTTTTGTTTATTCACATTTCTATGCTCAAAAACATGTCTAATCAATTGAATGTAATAATTGATTATGGATTTGATTAACAACTTATTTTAATTAATCATTTATTAACATTTTTAATAGTTATAAAAGTCCTATGAAATCTATTTTATTTAGAAAATATTTTTGTTATGATTTAATACAAATATATTATAAATGACGGTGATAATCAGATTAATAATGCATAACTAACTATTTAATTAAGACATTTAAAATGTAATCAAATGAAAATTGAACAACTTTTATCCTTTTTTTGGCAAAGTGCTGCACAACAGATAAACATGGACAAAAATGATATTCCTTCAATAATTTGTATTAATATTCATTGTATCATTATTATTATCATCATTTTGAGAAGTACATTCTATTGTGAGCCCGTTCTCATCCCAAGGCGTAATATACTGACTCTTTTGCCAAAGCGTCTATATCCCACGCACATGGCACCCTTTAGTCATATGAGACGCAGATATATGGCGCCTCCTAGTGGTCTAACCCTAACACTACCCCAGACCTAAACCTACCCAAAACCGAAGCGCGTTATATTGACGCTAAAGGGTGCCGTTACTGCCGTATGCGTGGGATATAGACGCTTTGGCAAAAGAGTCAATATATTACGCTTTGGGATGAGAATGCGTTGCTATTGTAAAATAGTAGGCTAATATTTCTGTCATGATTTCTTCAAGTTGAACCAAACTTTTTTTTTGACGTGTTGTAGTGAAGACCTTCGAGTTTCGGGGTGTGTTTGACACTGTTTTCCTCAAATAAAATGCTGAGATGCTCCTCAAGCGTTCTCTCAGAGCAGCTCTGAATGTGTTCACGTATTCACGGCCTCATATTGAGAGACGGCAGACGCATACTTGAGTATGTAGTGGACGAAACAGCTCATTCACACAGAGACACGCAGAACAAGCAGATTATATGTTTATTTTTGCGTTTTAATATTCACAAACCATGTCGCGATTTGATTTATTGTGCAGCTCTACTTTCAATTTATTCATCCATCAATCAGTTTGCACATTTTACATGACATCTGCGTTATTACCAGCATTTCAGTAATAGAAGTGTACATTAATCGTACGTACGGTGCTCGGCAGGGGTCAAAAAGGATTTAAACAGTGAATTTTGAAGTGATCTCTTCTTGTAAACTTAGAGATGTGATTCGGACAGCAATTAAATCGCCACACGATCTTGGTGTTTGTAATTCGGCCGGGGATTTTTACCCGGGTGGTGGGAGAAAAACCCTGACATTCTGGATTCGGACGGCAATAAACTCCCCAACTAACCCCTGTACATGTTGAAAATACCTTACGACCCCCGAGAAACAGTTACCATCCGAATAGGACTATCGATTGTCGTTTTTAAGAACTGATATTGATTTTTAAATTCCAATGACTGATGCTGTTTTCAGTTGGTGCGTGATCAAAAGTTCACTAAACATTATTTGTAGTGCGCATACGATTAGATCTTTTAATCTAAAAAGTGCAAGTATTGTACAAGTATTGTACAAAAACACACCTGATGTAAAAAGGTCAAGTGAAAAGTGATCTGAACGCACCCGACGTCGTACTTACGGCCTCCCAGGACCATGAATAGTGAGCACCTGTTCAGGCAACCCATCACTTATTTCTTTGCATCTCTCAAATGAATACGATGGTTCATAATCGAGGGCCAGTGACTGTGCTTGGCCGACCATTATTACTCTGTTAATCATTTTCATAAGCTTCGGTCTACCTTCACGTTCACCTGTCCTGTTCCTCTTCTTTCTTTTTTCCGAACGGTGGATTACCTCACGGTAAAGAGCAAATTTCAATCAAAACGTTATAAACCCATCATAACAGCACTCCACCCTGGCTCAAAAACTCACATTATCAGCGGTTTGGCAGCGGCCGGCGTGTGAAGAGTATTGGCCCTGAGGGAAACGAAAGAGGACGTGATTACAGCTATGGAGAGTGGCAGCTTTGCTTACTCCCTCCGAGTGCTCTGGGTGTGTAGAGAAGGCAAGACCGTTCAGGGTTATGCAATGGAGGAGTGATTATGAGACGGCCGTGTGGTGCTCATTTACTGCTCACGCTGTGACCGAGACACCGGGCAGCCTGACCGCTGAGTGTGAAGTTGCCATGTGCTGCGCTGCATATGGTTATCATTGTTTTCAGATTTACTGACCACACTTACCATTAAGCTTGTGCTTTTATTCTATTTTTTTTTTTTTTTTTTTGCTTTGACAGCATGTTTGAGATTATATGCTATCAAGACTTTTTTAGTTCATATGCTCATTCTTAGACTACGAGTCTCAGCGTTTTTTAAATAGTGGTGTTAAGGGAATTACTACTACTACTACTGCTCATACTTGGGGTTAGGCATGCAAATGCAGATACAAATGCTTGGCCAACACATTTTAAATGTGCAGGCGCATGCGTAAATGCGAAGTCTCACTGGCGATGGTTACAGACCGTTTTTGCAAAAATCCCATCTTCTTCTGTAGGGTGTCTGCGACACACAACGATTAAAGCTGAAAGTAGGGTGAATTTTGGCTGCACCACATTTACAACCTGAACTTACATTGCTTTGTGGATAAAACGGTCAAGTAATGTTATATTTTAAGAGGCTTATTGATCTTGACACAAAGTCATGCAGGTCTGCTGAAGTCTTTTCTGCGATACTTTGATTTAGCGGACAAAACTTTTGATGGTTAACTTGAAGACTTCAGATGTTTATAATAATGTAATAAGATTTTCTTTTAAAGAATATTTTTTTCCCCTTTATTATCCACCATGACGTTTTTTTTTTATTCTATGACCGACCCCAAAAAACATCAAAATGAATTGCATGAGCATCATGTCATTGACATATGTGACAATGAATATTGTTCACCCAAAAATGAAAATCCAATCATATTATGTAATAATAAAAAAGGTTTTTGTCAATGCAATAATTGTCAATGGGGTACAGTGTTATTTTGAACCTCACTGACTTTAATTATGGACAAAAACAGTGTGGTCGTAACATGTTTTACACTTTTCTAAAAGAAGTCTTCAGCTCACCAAGGCTGTATTTATTTGATAAAAAATACAGTAAAACATTAATATTGTGAAATTTTATATAACTGTTTTCTATCTGATAAAATGTAAGTTATTCCTGTGATCAACTCCAGTCTTCAGTGTCACATGATCCTTCAGAAATCATTCTAATATGCTGATTCGATGCTCAAGAAACATTTCTGATCATTATCAATGTTGAAAACAGTTGTGCTGCTTCATAGTTTAGTGGAAACAATGTGAAAATTGAATGTGAAAAGTCTTTATTGTCCTTTTTGAAATGCATCTTTGCTGAATAAACTTTTTCAGCGACATTTTTGAACAGTAGTGTATCGTCTTTTGGTTTCAACAATAGAAAGTCATACAGGTTTGAAGATGAGTGATGACAGAATTAATTTACATTTTTGGGTGAACTATCCCTTTAAGCATGCAACCTGCAACCTTTCCTTGAGAAGGAATTAATCAAGTGTGAGAGGTGAAAAGAGTCTCTAAGGCTTGCTGTTTTCAGCGTTACTCTCCCTGTCTTGCTGCTGTACTTGGCTGGTGTATTAACAGTGCTATTTTTCTTGCCGGCTCCTTTTTCAGGTCCTGGTCTGCTGATCCAAACTATCCAAATCTCCAGTGTTAGTTCTCAACCTTCGAAACCACAGCATCAACAGGGCCCCTGCGTTCCCAGAATCTGAGCTCCACGCGACCCAAACCGACTCGGTTACTCTGAAAAGGCTCTGGAAACTTGAGAACGAAAAACCGGAAGGCAATTCATAAGGCAAAATAGATTTTCCATTCCTCCGGCCTTCCGCATCCATAACCAGACGGAGAGCTGAAGTTAGACGGTCTGTTGATTTTGATGACGCGATTGTTGGAGAAATACGGATATCTGGTTGCTTGTGGTTCTCTCAGACATCCGGCTGTCAACTACCCGGAGTGAAGTAAGCACTACCGAAAGAGAGGATTCTAGGATAGGTTCATGCCGCGGTTGCGCCGCTGTATGGAGGTGTAAGGGAGGAGCGGGACTCTTGTGGGACGCTGGTGGAGTTCTGGCTGGTGGGGATCATGGGAAAAGAGCAGGATCTTCTGCAAGCGGTCAAGAATGGAGATCTAGCTACTACACAGAAACTGCTGGCCAAGGTTAAAGCCAGCAAAAGCAGTGAGTAACAGTTCATTGCTATTCTAACACAGCTTTTGATGTGCATCCATTGCTTTCGCAGCCCCTCGTTGGCTAAAAGGGAGCTAAAAGATGGGCTGTGAAACGTTTGAATATTTCTTCTGATGATCCTGGTTTGATATTCATACACCCATGACTAGGGCTGGCGGGTGATATATCTCAAAAAGATTCTTGATATGCATGTACTTGCTCTAAAATGGTCTGCAATGGTAAACTGTTGAACAGATTCTGCATGTTTTTCACATTTTCTCCATGAAATGTGAGAGACATTATGTAAGATTTTAAAGAGTAGTTTGACCATAATTCTGAAAATTGTCATTTTTTTATTCACCCTCATGTCCATCCAAAGCTGTATGACTTTCTTTCTTCCATAGAAGAAGTTTAGCGTAATGTCCACGCTGCTCTTTTTTAATACACTGAAAGTAGATCATAGTCGTCAATTTTATTCATAGACTATATTCCGAGTTTTCTTAAGCCATACAATAGCTTCAAGTGAGGAACAGACTGAAATATTTAGGCTACAATGTGCTCAAATTCTCCTGTTTTGTTCCACTGAAGAAATAAGGGTCATGCAGGTTTGGAATGATGTAAGTAAATGATGAAAGATTTTAATTTTGGGTTAACTTGGTTAAGCATGCTAATTCATGGTTGAATGCATGATCAAATTAGCCACAATATTTACTTAATAAGCATGCAATGTGGTGATGTGAAGAACTTTCACTTTCGCACGCTTTCTGTAAAATTGTTGCAGAATTCATGTATTTGTCATTTTACTCATGACAAATAAAGTCATTGGGAAACACATTTGCACATATTTACTTGCACATAGCCCCAGTTACACAGGTTTATTTCACGAGGTCAAAGATCGGGACTCGCTTGTCTGCTCAACAGTGGTGACTGTTGTTTTGGTTAAGTGTATTTCTATGCTCTTTCTAATGATCTAACACGAATGAACTCACTGCCCAGACAGTCCCATTCATGCCTGTTTTTCCCAGTCCCACCAGTTGGTCTTTGTTTGAGGTTTATTTTATCTCCTGGTGTGTGTTCTTTAAGAGCAGTGCGATTGGCCTTTGGAACATCTTGCCAACCGGGTCCTGATAACATCAACAGACTCTACTGCGTGTGTGCACTCTACTTTTATCTCTTTATGGCAGCACATTAGGAGAGAGCTGTGTGCACTCGACTCCAGCATAAAGAGCCCATGCTCTCTGTGATGTGGTCCAGTCTGTAGAGGGGAAGAGAGACAGACGTTCCCCCAATAAGACCTCACAAACTGCCAGGCATCAGAAGAGAAACGGGGTCTTTTCTCTGGGATAACATGCAATATGCCACTAAAGTCTGTATGTTACAGTCGTTTTACTATGGTAAAGAAGTATAGTTGTGCAAATCAGTCGTTGCATTTTAAATTGAAATGGTATTATTTTGTAGAAACTAGGGATGCTAACGATTAATCGATGACTAATGATTAACGATCGATAGGGCTGCAACAAACGATTATTTTGGTAATCGATTAATCTAACGATTATTGGAACGATTAATCGACTAATCATCGATTATTTTCACAGACTAATCAGTAAGTTTGGAACGATTATTCAGCTTTTCCAATTATTTAAAACATTGAGTTATACATATTCTAACTATAATATAAAAAAAGAAAATCACTTCAGCTTTTGAAATAGTTGTTTTAATGAACTTTGAGCCAACTAAACAGGTCATTCTCTTTAAGTTTTCAGATTTCGGTCCAACTCAAATCACACACAAATGCTCTCTAAGCATTGTTTAATAGGCCCACTGCTTTTCTTAGAACTGAAACAGAAAAAGGGACATTTACTTCAGGACACAAAGAATGGTAAAATATTAATCTGCAAACAATTATTATAATTATAAAATTACAATCTTTTTTTACATGACAATTGAGCTGACAGAGACGTTCTCATTCACCTTTTAATTTATAGTATGAAAAAGTAACTGCCATGATATTGTTCCTATATCATAGGAAGGATAGGCCTATAACATCTCGTTTTGTAAGTCTTCATGATTATTGAACAAAATACAGGCAAGTGATAAGACTATAATAATACCTAATATACTAATAGTGTTACAATAATAAAAACAGCCCTGACTCCTAAGCTGGATCAAGCTTTATTCTATACAAAATAAGTCATCACATTACTGTAATTATATTACTATTGATAATATTATTACTATTATTAGTAGTATTGCATTCTCTAATAAAGAGAGATTTGCCGCTGGTTAGTAAGCTCCAGCTGGAGAACACTCACTTCTCACCGGCTCCTCTTTTGCCGGGATGTTTCCTCTTGCACTCCAACATGCATGTTGTGCTCCTGTGAAAATTGCACACGACAGCATTCTTGATTTGAAGTTTTGTGAAACTTTCCCAAACCTAAACCTTGCTAGTTCGGATTCGTTTGCACTGTCATAATTCGCGCTGTATTTTCTTCTACCGCAATAGCATTTGCAAGGTCTGCACTACACTAGCGCTACAGCGCCGTAGCGGTCAAATCGCGGGATTGCAGGCCCTTACATTAGGTCACGTGAGATCAAACGACTACTCGACAACAAAGATATTTGTCGACAAATTTTTATTGTCGACGTTGTCGACAACGTCGACTAATCGTTGAAGCCCTAACGATCGATTAATAATTGAATCGCTAAAACGGGTCGATAGTCGATTAAGCAAGGTCATGTGCATGCGTGCTACTCAACCGTGAAACACGTAAAGCAGACACGAGGAGAAATGAAGCGAACGTGCCGGAGTTATGTTTGGGACCATTTTACGTTAAAAGAGTTACACCTTTATGACTTTGCGGGTGCATTCAGAATTTTCCTTTCGGTGCATTCCTAATTTAATGTATTCTTGCTGAATAAAAGTATTAATTTCTTTAAAGGTGACATATTAGGCCCCTTTTCACAATATGTAATATAAATCTATGGTGTCCCCAGAATGTGTCTGTGAAATTACAGCTCAAAAGACAACCCAGATCATTTATTATAGCTTGTCAAAGTTCGCCTTTTTTGGGCGTGAGCAAAAACGCACCATTTTTGTGTGTGTGTCCATTTAAATGCAAATGAGCTGCTGCTCCCCGACCCCGTTCAGAAGACGGACGATCCTTTACACAAGCTTCGGATACTCCGTCAATAACAAAACACGTTTAGACTTAACCTGGACGTTTCTGAATGGTTAGTGGATACAGTTATACAGTTGTTGTGGAGTTATATTGATTCACCTCATCAACTTGCATGTGCCGTCATGTTTAACTTTTACACAAGTTGACAGTTCCCCGAGCTCTTTATAAGACAGCTGTGACATTTTTTGGTCAAATAGTGCTCTGTGCAGCCAACGACAGAACGGTTTGAGTGCTTTGCTCGAACTTTTGTCATTGCGTTAGAACTGGTTACACTGTTGTCGCTCGCGAAAACCAAATGGCGGCGCCGTGGGTGGAAACGTGTAGATTAAGGGGCAGTAATATTATAATAATTAAGATCCCCTTCCTACGTCAGAATTGTTTTATTTTTTGACATGCTTGCAGAGAAAGGCTTACCAACCCAAAGTTACTGGGTTGTCACTTTTCATGTTTTCTGGGTTGGTAGATGCACCGGGGACCCGATTATAGCACTTAAACACGGAAAAAGTCTGATTTTCATGATATGTCCCCTTTAAATTAAAACAAGCTAATCCTAAACTTTTGAACGTTACTGCACTGTATATTCACATCATAAGATAATCGCTGTCCTGAAAGGAAAATACTCTCATGCGACTTCACACCTGGGGCGACCTTAGCCCTAAATATACCTTTGTACCTTGCAGGTGACCTTTTCACATGTTTGCGAAGGTGCTTGTAATTATCCATTAAAACACAGGGAACTTTGTCTTTTGAAGATCGTGTCCTCTTGTTGGACAGGTGCCTGTATTTATCGCCGGTAACTTGGCAGTATGTTTGCCTGGGCCTCATGGAAAAGAGTATAGGTCTGAGTATAGGTCTAAGAATAGGGCTGTATCCGAAATCGACCCCTTGAAGTTCACTTGAAGAAGTGAATGAAAACGAGGGAGTGAATTCAGACAGCCGTTGAGCGTACATCGCCTGTACACTTGTTATTGCAGTGCAATGTGGGATTGAATAATTGCACTCAATAACGTCCACTATGGTTTCAGACACCACTACAAATGGCTGTCCCCTCAAATAATGCCCTATTTGAGGGTATAGGGGGCGATTTCGGGTTCAGCCTTGGTTTTTTTTTGTTTTCTCTACACACCTTGCCGCTTTAACACCTGGTCATCGAGACTTCTACCTTTACAATTGACTGTTGGGTTTTTATTTGGACTTAAGCTTCAGGATTTGATTTCCAAGGCCAGCGAGAGGTCAGTATGATAACCCAGCACCACCTCAGCTATTCTTTACCCGAGTGCGTGTAAACACACACAGATAATACAGCCACTTCAAGGCAGGACAGGGTCACGAGTCGATCTCGTGTATAACCTTCTCTTTTGTCTTTTCAGGCCAGAATCAAGGCCCGAGCCATTGTGTGAGTGGCACACAGGCTGAGTTATTGCTCTATAATGTCATCTTTAGTGCGCTAAGGGTCATAATCGCTTTCATACAGTCATTAACGCGCGGCGGGCTTTTGTGGCCCTCATCCTTCAGGCTGGAGAAGACCCGGCCAGCTGACTAGCCTTCCCAGCATGCCTCCGCCCCTTCGTTCCCGCCGCTTTGTCTCAGTCCCTCAGGGGCTGCGCCGCAGCCTGTCAGATTACCCACGACCCTTTGTTCCAACTCGCAGCTTTACTAATTCATCACCTTGCGCTCCGCACACGTGCTCACCCAGGCTGCGCAACCCAACAAACATTTAATGCATCCATTGATGATGAACGCATCCGTTGCTCCCCTTGACATCTGCCAGCGCAGGTTTGCTTTCACCCCCGTTCAGACTCTCATAAATCATGATGAAGACCCAGATGGTGG